GCTCAGTCTCAGTGCCTCCGTACCTGATGGCCACACCTTGGCCAGAAATGGCCAGCTCCAGTGACCCTAGGGGAGGCCACTCCCCAGATCCTGCTCAGTGCTGTGCTCAGGGGCCATGACCCCTTCCCTACCTCGTCTCAGAACGTGGCTCTGGAACTGAGTCTGGAGGCTGAGGTCCAGTCTGTGTCCCCCTCCCAGGATGTGGCTCTGGAACCGCGTCTGGAGGCCCAGGTCTAGTCTGTGTCCCCCACCTCAGTCTCCAGAGGAGGCTTCATGCTTCAATTCATGCTTCACACGCTCAGATGTAAAACAGAGCAAACAAGAAATGGAAACACAAGAATGAATTTTCTAGATCTGGCCTTAGAGGAGATTTGGGGGGAGGGGAGGGGATCTTTATCTGCTTCATGATTTACACTTTGCTTTTGTCATCCGAACATCACCAGGGGATGTTCCCTGACTTTCAAATGGAATTGCTAGACCAGCCCCACACCGCACACGGGCACCTCCCCACCTTACCTTGTGTGGCCAAATCCGGCATCCCTCCCGTCTCTCGAAGGTAGGGTCAGCACCCCTATTTTTATAGGAAGTAAATGGGAACAAAGCCGTATGGGCCGTGCGTGTGTCGAGGCGGCTGTGGGGATGTGAGGGTGGAGTCAAGCCGAGACACCTCCAGGCCGCCGTCCTCCGCAGAGGTTCTCGGCTGTCCCGCAGCAGACCCCCAGCGCTGGCCGGTGTCCTGAATGCAGCGACCTGGCCCTCCCTTCGTGGCGCCATGTCCTGCGGACTCTGCCCTCTGACCTTTCTCTCTAAAGGCAGCGCTGCTTACCCACATGTTGTGCTTATATGCGCAGCCTGCTCTGAAGAACAGCTGTGTCAGTCCCTCCAGAGGAGGGGACCTGGCTGTCAGTTTGGGCTAAAATTGCATTTATTTCCTTTCCATTACACCTGCAATGAAGGTGAGCTCCTGGCGGGGGTGGGGGCGGGGGCGCCCTGGTTGAGTCTCCAGTGAGACAGGTGGCTCGTCCAGAGTCACGCTCACCTGGGACACCAGGGGCTCCCCAAGATCTGACGTCTTCTCTTTCAAAACGAGGAGGCGGTGGCCTGCGAATAGGTTCAAGGAGCCGCGAAGGCGTGGGGATCATTTAACCAGCGGTTTCCTGAGTTCGCATTGCCCCCATTCTTGCTCGGTGGTCCTCACGGCTGGCCAGACCCTCCTGGCTCTCCCTCCCTGTGTCCTCCCAGGCCGCTGGTCCCCGCCCTCCTTCGGTGACCCTTTCCTGAGTCCTCAGAGTCGCGTCCTCTGTGCTTGCTGAGACCCAGTTGCCCACTGTGCTCAGGACCCCCACTGTCACCCCACAGAAGCGAGAGGAGCAGGAGACTTCAGAGCCTGTCCCTGCTTTGGCGCATGTGAAACCCGTCCATCTTAGGTCTTGGTCTTCGGAAACTATGGCTCAGTTTCCTTCTGATTTTACTAGATTTTGGTTTTAGCTAAAATTGAAAGTTGGTCCCTGCCTTACCTTCTCTGGAAGGATTTGATTTCCTCTGGCTGAGGCCAGGGCCATGAGCAGGATCGCTCCCTCCGCCATCGTTCCTGCCCAAGCCAGGGAAGGAGTGCCAATGCCTGTTAGCCCAGAGGTGGAGTCACGGGGGCACCTGGTATTCACGCTGGGGCACTTGGGGTGGGGAGGGCCCAGGCAAGCACCTGCCAGCATGCTCCCAGGCTCTTAGGCTCTCAGGCTCCCAGGCTCTGAGCATCCCTCTTGACCCTTGATGCAAACCCCCTGGGTGATCGCAGGCTCACTTGGCCAAGCTCCTCCCCACCCCCTTCAGCCCCATCTCTCCCAGTGGTCATGCTGCATGCCACCCCTGTTCGGTCCCTCTGCCTCCATCCTTTCTGTCTTTAGGCATCTCGCCGGCCCGACATCCATTTATTGGACCAGGAGGGTGGTGCTCCTTCTGAACAGCTGCACAGAGCCCCCGTGGGTGTTGTTCCTTACAGACTCTCCTGCGAGGCACGTCACCTTCCATGTAACGTGACCTAACAAAATGCCTGTCTCAGAATAATAAACTTCTCTCTGCCCGCCACTACCCCTTAGGGTTTCAAATCAAACTCACCATAACTGAACCCAAGACCTTTTTTTAAAAAAAGGAACACAGTGAGATTTTTTTTTAAAGATTTTTTATTTATTTATTTGAGAGAGAGAGAATGAGAGAGAGAGAGTACATGAGAGGGGAGAGGGTCAGAGGGAGAAGCAGACGCCCCGCTGAGCAGGGAGCCCGATGCGGGACTCGATCCTGGGGCTCCAGGATCATGACCTGAGCCGAAGGCAGTCGCTTAACCAACTGAGCCACCCAGGCGCCCCACAGTGAGATTTTTGATAAATGGACAGTTTTCCACAGTTACAGTGCTCTGGAATTTTGTGGTCCAGGACTGGATTCTTGTTTGGGCCTTAGCTGAAGGTGGGACTGAAGTGAAGCCAAGTCCCTCTGCAGGCTGAGATCTGAGAGCCCACATGTCCCGAGGGCCTCTGGACCGTGCGCAGTCTCCTCTGTGCTCTGTTTTCTCCTCTTATCGTCCCCTTTGAGCGTCCAGCCTCAGGCCTCACCTGCTTCCTTTGCTTCTGGGCCCACTGCTCCATCCCCAGCAGTGGCCTAAGACAAGGCAGCTTGGCTGTACCTCTTGGTAGGCATGGGGGGACACGTGCTAGGGCTGCCCCACCCCAGGACCCCGGCCTCCCTCCCTGAAACATAGTTCTGGATTCTTCCAGGTGGGCATGAGCAGGAGTGTGAGGCCCGTGATGGGCTTGGAAGGAAGGGAATGGTGGGCCACGGTGGGTCTCTCCCGTCACAGCAAGCTCTGACCCAGAACAGCCTGCCGTTACCCAGGGCTGGGGCATGGGCTGGGCCGGGGTTTCCCTTCGTGGATCACTGGGGTGGCTGCCGAGGAGTGGGGGTGCCACCGGCAAGGCAGTTCTCCTCGTGGAAGGCGGTTTCTGCAGACCCTGCGGAGGGCAGTCTGAGGTGTGTCCTCGGCGTGAGCAGATGCCGCACACGCCCTGGACGTGGCTTATTCCGTCTCTTCACAGGCTTTGATGGGGCACCTGCCATCTGCCAGGCGCTGAGCTCAGCCCTAGAGTGAGTGAGCGAGCAAGCGAGTGAGGGGGACAGGCTGCTGACCGCCCTGACAAGGCTGCGTTTTTGCAGAGAGAAGGCAGAGAAAAAGGAGGAGGAGGGGGTGGGAAGGAAGGAGAGAGGGAACATGTACGTGATCTAAACTGGATGCCTTCCGGCGGGCCGGCAAGGACAGACGTGTGCTGAGACCCACTCTGTCCTCTGCTGCGGGAAATCGGTTTTTAGGCAATAACTTTGTGTGCTGTCTATGCTTCTGATTTTTTTTTTTTTTACCAGCTTTTAGAGTTGTGTGCCGACTTTATGAAGATGTGAAATATGTCATGTGTAGACACAAGCTTAATAATACAGCCTAGTCACTGTCACGGGAAATGCACTCAGAGCGCGCGGATCTATGTTTTGGATGCCTGCTGGCTGGTTGCTGGAGTCCCCGGGTCTGTCTGCAGGCCAGGGTAGCTGCAGCAGTCACAGGGAGCAGGGAGGCCTCCCAGTAATGAGGGTAGTGAGTGGAAACAGGCCCCGTCCTGTTGTGCGTCAAATGGCGGGCAGGGGAGCGCCCAACACTCTCTGCGTCCAGGAGCACCCTGCTCTCCCAGGCCCTGGGTTCATGTCCTCACCAGGTGGCTCTTTCTACCTCAAAGCAATGCAAAGCCACCCAGCACCCAGTGTTCATCACTTGATTCCAGCGTAAATCACCTGATTCGTGTGGCTCTAGGCGCAGAGTTCATCGATAAGCTTGAGGGCCTGCTCCCAGGCAGGGCACAGAGCTGTTCTGGAGGCTGCTCTCCAGGCCGGCGGGTCCTCTGCTTCCAGAAGCCGTGCATCCTGGGAACATGGTGGAGAGGCCGTCGCCACCGTGGAGACAGAATCCCCATTCTGCCATCCGGGGCGAACATTAGACCTAGCTGGCTGGGGGCCCTTGTGACACCGGGAGGGCAGAGTCTGCCTGGTGTGGTCTGCGTGGTCTTCTCATGGAAGATCTATGTCTTGGGTTGCTGGTTCTTGGCTCCTGATGAGCTCCATGCGCGTGAGCAAGCAGCACCTTGGTTGGGCTCTGCTCCTGGTGGGCTGGGGTGCAGGGGCTTGGGACAGGCAGCGGGAGCGGGCGGCGTCAGGACTCGGGCGTGGGCTCTGTACTCCTTTGTTAGCCATCACTGAGCCATGATTTAGAGTTTGGAAAGTGGGGAACATGTGTTCCCCGGGCTCTGGCCAACACCCTGGTGGCGGTGGCTCCCACAGGTGTCTCCCCTGTTCTCCCTGCTCATAGGGTCAGTGCCAGTGACAGGTGGTGGCCTGAGCTTCATGTTCTGGGGCCTTCTCGGAAAGCCTTTGCTCTCTGATATAAAGGCAAGAGAAGCAGGAGAAGGCCTCTGTCATCCCTGGCTGCCTCCTGCTTCGTGTCTCTGATGTGGGTTGGATCACCGGGAGATGCATCATACCCACGCGTGAACCAGGTTTGCAGGGAGAGGCGTCCTGACAGTGCTCGGCAGCACGGCTCCGGGGCCCAGGCTTGGGTTTGAACCCTGTGGCTACTCCTGACCTCAGGTGAGATCCTTGGTCACTGTGTGCCTCAGTTTCCCCAGCTGATAGGGTGGCAACAGTACCTACCTTACAGAGTTGTTGTAAGTAGTCCCTAAGAGTCTGCTGCTGTCATTTTATTATTTTGTAGGTAAAAAAGTTAACTACATGTACAGTACGTGAATACGTGTTTGTTCTAAAAATTTAAACAATGTAGAAAGATGTACAGAAAAATGTCAATCCTGCTTAATCTCCACCCTGACCCACTGTCTCCCGTGCCCCCACCCGCACTCTGAATATCACTCTCCTCCCAGGGGTGATCACTTTTAACAGCTGGGTATTTTTTCTTTCAGAACTTTTTCTGGGCATACCGTCTTACACAGGGGGACCACACTGTATGGATGGTTGGGGATCTTGCTGCTTGCACTTGGTAGGTGTATCCTATTGCTACTGTGACAAATTAGCATACAGTTAGCAGCTTAAAGCGATACCTGTTGCTTATGCCCAGTTCCGGAGGTCAGAACCTGGCACAGCTTCTGTCTGCGTCTTGCTGGTTCTCTGCTTAGAGGCTCGCAGGATGAATTTGGGGTGTTGGCAGGGCCGTGCTTCTTGCGGGAGGCTCAGGGATGAATCGCTTCCAAGGTCAGTTGGTGGGGTCCACGTTCCCACGCAGGCTGTCAGCTGGGTGTCCCTTAGGTCTAGACAGCCCCTCTCCGTGGCTCCTGGTCCCTGCCCTTCAGCGTCAGGCCAGCGCATAGGGGGTCCCTCTCCTGCTTGGGTATCTCTGTGCTCCCCGCTGCCATGTCTCTCTCATTGGTGCTTGTGAGGGCTCCTGGGACCACACTGAGCCCATTCCATAATCCAGGATGCTCTCCCTGTGTTAAGGTCAGCCGATCAGGAACCCTAATACCATCTGTACTGTCCCTTCCCAGCTAGAGTGGGGTGAATAGTGTCTCCCCAAAATTCATATCCACCCAGAACCACACAGTATGACTTTATTTAGAAATAAGGTCATAGTAGTTATAATTAGCTAAGGATTGAGATCAGTCTGGATGAGGATGCACCCTAAATCCAACAACTGATGTCCTCCTAAGACAAGAGAAGGAGACAGCCGCTGGGACAGGGAGCAGACAGCACCATGAGGCTGGAGCAGGGAGTGGACGGACATGTCTACAGGCCCAGGAATGCCGAGCACTGCAGGGGCCTCCAGAACCTGGAAGAGCCCAGGAAAGATTATTCCTGAGACCGGTCAGAGGGAGTGGCTCTAATGGCACCTTGGTTTCCACGTCTAGTCTCTAGAACTAGGAGAAAATAGATTTTTCTGTTGCATTAAGAAATCACCCAGCTTGTGGTATGGTGTTATGCAGACAGAGGGCAGTATCTAGATTAGTGCTTGATGGGAAACCAGGCTGGGAATCTGGGGGCACCTTCAGAATTCTGCCTACCACAATGTATTGTGCATTTCTTTGCAAATGTTATGTAAATGTGTGTAAGTGCTTTCCACCGTTTATGAAGACACTCTTTGCTTGTGAGAGGCCAACATCAGGACAGAATGATTTAGTTGATTGAGACAGCTCTTCAAACTTGGATTCTATAGTTAACAGTTTGGGTGTTAAAAACCAGAATAAATAAATCAAGCACATTTATGGCCATGGGGTGATGCAACAAGGACATTTGATTTATTCTGAAATCAATCTGGACAGGCAGGGAGAGGTCGAGGCAGAGTTAAGGATTAAATCTGGTCATTAATTAAATCTGATGAAGCCAGTAATGCTATCAAAAGAGAAGAAGGAAGGAACTTATGGGTCATAAACGCCTTTCCACTTCTGACCCCCAAGAGTCTGCTGTTTTTCTCTCTCCTTCCAAAAGGAGTGATCACTTTTAACAGCTGGGTATTTTTTCTTTCAGAACTTTTTCTGGGCATACCGTCTTACACAGGCGGACCACACTGTATGGATGGTTGGGGATCTTGCTGCTTGCACTTGGATTTTCAAAAAAGAATCCTTTTTATGGATTTGTCTCTGATACAAGGATTAATGGCAGGTGGGAAAAAATCATTATGGATATCCTGAAGCTAGAATATGAAGGACATATGAACATTTCCCTAAAACAGGACATTACATTGGTATTAAGGGTTTCTGAGTCATATTGCTTCATGTCATGAGGCTTCAGCCCGTTAATTTTGTGACAATCTGTATATACTTACCTACAGCCCCTTAATTGTAGGTGTGGGTATACAAATATGCGTATATCTGGCCCCCAAACACCTGGATGTTGGAAAAAAAAAAGACATTTTACTTCTTCTATGGGACAAAGGAAAGCCAACCAAGGACATCGGGGCTTGGGTGCTGACTTGTGGGGATGTATTAAGGCCAGGTACCAGCAAGGTGCCTACCCTACTTTTCCATCAGACAGTGGTGGGCCTCTACTCTCTAGTGTCCTCACTCAGGGACCCAGGCTCCACCTTCTGTAGTAGCTGCTGTCGCAGCAGCTGGGGAAACAAGAGCAGGGGCATCCGGCACTGGGGATCAAAGGCCTTGGCTGAGAAGTGGCTCACATTTTTCTGGGGGTACAGTTGCCCCCTTGCTTCAGGGGAAGGAGGGCAGCCAGTCCTCCTTATGCCCTTACCTGTGGGGCATTGGAGAGGGGTGGACGTCAGGAAGACCCAAGTGGAGGCTAGGGGAGGCACTGGCTCTCACCTTCTGTACTGAGCCCAAAGCAGACACAGGACCATTGTGGCTTTATGAAGCAGGTTACCATGTCATGTCATCAACCGGCACATGGGGCGCACATGAAGTTTTGAGGGGCAGAGGGCGGACTGTAATTGGTTGGATAATGGCCCCCAGCAGACACATCTGCCTGGAACCTGAGAATGTAACCTTATTTGAAATAAGGGTCTGGGGTGCCTGGGTGGCTCAGTCGTTGGGCGTCTGCCTTTGGCTCAGGTTGTGATCTCAGGGTCCTGGGGTCGAGCCCCACGTCGGGCTCCCTGCTCAGCAGGAAGCCTGCTTCTCCCTCTCCCACTCCCCCTGCTTGTGTTCCCTCTCTCGCTGTCTCTCTCTCTGTCAAAATAAGTAAATAAAATCTTAAAAAAATAAGGGTCTTTGCAGGTTAAGGTAAAGATCTCCACATGAGATCATAGTGGATTAAGGTGGGTCCTTAATCCAAAGACAAGTTCTTCTAAGAAAAGAGAAGTGGGAATAGATGCGAAGACACAAAGGGAAAGACCATGTGATGATGCAGGCAGCAGCTGTCCTGATGTGCCCACAAACCAAGGACAGCCAAGGACTGCTAGCACCACTGGGGCCGGGAGAGGCAAGCCAGGATGCCCTCCTGGAGCCTTCAGGGGAAGTGCAGTCCTAGCATCGACTCTGGACCTCTGGCTTCCAGAACTAGGAGAGAATTCATTTCTGGTGATTTGTTACAGCAGCCCCAGGAAGCTAAGACGGACTGCCCCTGCAAGATAGTTTTTGAGAAAATGATATATTTCTCCCTTTGTTGTCCCTTTTCCCTTCCCTGGTTCAGGCTGGTAGCGAGGGTCCATGCTTCTTGACCCCTCTCTTCCCTTCTCTTGTCTCTGGTAAGGAGCTAATGGCATTTTCCCGAGACAGGGGAGGGTATAGAGACCGTGGGGTCTGGGGGCAGTGGGGATGTAGATGGGATGCTAGTTTGGTGCCTGAAGGGGCTGCTCTCGGCTCAGATAGGGGGTTAGGAGATGGGGTCATGGGAACTGCTGGCCAGGTTTTAGGCATGAATCTCCCTGCAGGGTCGGGCTGCAGGCACCTGGAGACATTGTCTGAAGCTGGGATCCACCTAGTGGGTCTGAGCCACCAACATCCAAACCTCGATGAAGTGCTGAAAGCCCGCCTTCTCAAATAGGCATCCCGGCTTAAAAATCTGCCTAAAACCAATTTATTTTGACTAGAAATTGATATTAAATTGATTTGGGTTGACTATGTGTCTAAAGGCCAAATACTGAGGAAATCCATACCAGAAAAGATCCTTTGGCAGATCCACGTGTCTCTTTGTACTAAATACACTTGCGCCTCAGAAAGTTGAAGCCAGCTCTTGTTGATTTATTAGTCTTGCTCGAGAAGGTCAAACATCCGAAGAAGTAAATCTGATCTCCGATTTGTCATGTTGTGCGCTCATTCATTCAGCAGATAGCGAGGCACTGCTGTGGGTGTTTGGGGTACGTCCATGAGGAAGCCGGCCTGGGGGGCGGCTCCTGGCACGGAAGGTGCTGTGTGCAGCGTTCGACAGTGTGGTCAGCAGACACCACTGAGAAAGTGACATCTGTCATCTGGGCACGGACTTGGGGAGACAAGGAGGTGGCCATACAGAGACCTGGGAAAAGGCCGTTTCTGGAGGGGGACCCACACCGCTCATCCTCTGGCATGTCTTGGGAGCAGCGAGAGGTCAGGGTGGAGGGGGTAAGGGAGATCAGGTCTGTGGGCCTTGCGGCCACAGTGAGGATTTTGCATTCCATTCTCTTGGGGGGCTGCTGAAGTGGGGCGTCATGACCTGAGAGTTTCAGATGACCTTCAGGCCGCTGGGTGGGGAATGAACGGCACAGGGCACGGAGGCAATGGGGAGCCACTTAGGGGGCTGCCGCACCAGTGCAGGGCAGATGTGGCCACGTCCTGGGCCGGTGATGCGGAGAGTGGGGAAGACCGGCTGCGGGTGCAGGTGAAGAGAGAACCCAGCTGACCCGCGAAGCCAGGTGCCAGACGGGAGAGTCTCAGGAAGTGGGCTGAGGTGATCCCACACAAATGCAGGTTGACCCCTGGCCACATACATGGTTCCGTGGTTCTTGTGTCTTGTGGACAAGGGCCGAGATTCTAGCACTGTCCGGCAGCATCGGGGCAGTGTCTCCACCCATCCCTGCCCCCGGGAAGGTCTGGCCGTGCCCACTCGCTGTGGCTCCCATGCTGGGAAGCGGGGGGAGGAAGAGTGACCACCTTTTTAACACCACATTAGCGCTCCCATCCCTGGAGGTAAGACCAGTGGGTTACAGTGGGTTATCTGGCTCCCCTGCACCTCGGGTCCTGGAGCTTGGGGCCATCATGAGGGTGGGCAGGGGGCTGGAAGGGGTGCGGAGGGGACTTTGGAGCCCCACAAGGGCCTGGCGCTAAGATCTGAGACTCAGCGACGAATGGGGAGACATCTGCCCACAGGTCTCAGCCCTGGGTGCCTGGCTGGCCGTTTTGAAAAATCGCTCACTGCTCCATGTTTTGGTTCTCTCTCCTGTGAAATGGGGAGAGTCGCCATGGAGATGAGAATAGTGCACATCAAGAGTCTAGCTGGGAGCCGCTGCCTAGAAGGGCCTCCTGAGAGAGGTGGGGGAGGAGGGGCGGAGCCCTGGGGCGGGGTGTGCCAGGAGGGAGCAGGGTGGGACACGCCCTCCTTGGCCTCCCCAGAGGCGGACTGCAAGGCC